AAAAAAAGGGATTATTCTCCTAATGGCAAGGTAACCAATTTTCAGTCAACAGCAAAGATTTTAAAAATCCTATTGATATTTAATAGATTTCTTTTTTTTCTTTTTATTTGTAGATCATATACGACTGGGGACCATATCCTATTGCCACTAACCTAACAAATACTACAAATAATTATGATTGGTGAGTAATTAATCTAGTTAATCTTTTTTTTTTTTTTTGTTTTTTTTTTTTAAGAAAGCTAATTTCCAGATAATTTAATCTCGTAAATGATATATTTTTCAAAAAAGGACTGTGCCATACCTAAACAATGAATCGCGAATTACAAATACATCAAACTTTTATATTCGTGTGGAAACAATTTCAAGATCTGGAATTTTTGGTGCCACACCACCATTAGGAGGTACATATGGTCCAATTTCTATATCTTTGATAGAACCTCCACCAGGTTGGAATGAAATTCATGTTGATTCAGTTTCTGGAGGTCAAAAAGTTCATACATCATTTTCAATTTGTAACATCAAATTTTGTAATTGGTTGGGATGGGCTATTTTAATTTTTGGAATTATTTTAGAGGCAATATATTTAGAATTTTAGGAAAAAAAATATATTATTATTAATTTTGTGATTAACAAAAAATATACATTTATAGTAATTTTGAAATCTTAAATAATTGAAATAGACAAAGGTTGAATATAGAATTTTTATTCATTTTTTTTTAAACAGATTTATTTATGAATATTTTATATATATATGTTTTGCAAGGCGTTAAATAAGTTTACGTATCATTTATCGTTGTATCAGATTGAAAATGAATGTCATAACAATAATAATCCAAATACTACGCACGTACATATTTCCATTTTTGTTGTTTTTATCATTTATTGAACTAAATATCCAGATTAGATTATGTTTCCATCAAGGAAATAATGATAAAGCAAAAGCTATTACGGTAACAATGCCAATCATAACACGGGATTAGTGTTACAAATTGTTAGCTAAACAACTAACTAGTTGCCAACTTTCCAACTAGTTGGTTTAAAGAAATTTTAAACAATTAATCAATTAATAATTTAATTAGTATAATTCTATAATATTTTTTTAGTCACGCTAATCTGTGTTGATTTTTTTGATTTAATTAGCTAATTATATAATGATACTATATGATATAAAACATCGATTTGTTGCGTCTATAGTTGACAACTAAACAACTCGAAACACTACACGGGATATTCACGTGATAGACGCTGCATTTGGATTGAAGTATCGATAGTAATCTGCTTTATATATCTAAAGATACTAAATCAAAATCTCTGATTATATCTATATAAAAGTTTATACATAATAAAAGAGTTAAAAAAACTAGCATAAATACTATACCAATCAAGATTATATTTCAAGTTAGAAATTATATATTATATAATATATAAAAGCCAATAGCTAAAAGTTTATAATGAATCAAATTTTTAAATAAAGACTATAATAGAGAATATATAAAAAGTAAATTTGTAATACCATACTGTAAAAATTTAATATTAAACTTTTGAGTTAACTAACTAATAGTGGTAGCAGACTTTGGCTTGAAATATAAAGTTAGTAATATTTTTCCTTTAGCAAATTTTGCTTACTTTTATCTAGAGAAAAACTAAAGCACTATATAGATATATAGATTTTAATTTATAATATTTCAATTAAAAGTCAAATATAATAGGGTGTGGTAATTTAGAGAAGTAGTTAAGTTGCCACCCCAAGTGGCAGGTCTAGAGTTTAAATTCCACTAGAGATATTTTTAAAAAAATAAACCTATATATTGAAGCATAGTGGGCTTTCATTGTAATTAGCTGATTTTTATAGATCATTCCATGATATTGCAAAAATATCATTGGTTAATCGAAATTATTTGCAAGACAAATTTTATATGAAACTATATTCTAATATAATTAATACTTGAATATTTATTATTATCATATAAATAAAATTGGCATTAATAAACACATTACTATGAAATCTACCAACTTAAAGTCTAAAACCATCATCTCAATACAAAAAAATCTAAGATCTTATTTAAAAAAAAAAATACTATTATATTTAATTTAAAAAAAAATTATAACTTATATAAAAAGCTCAAAAAACAAATAAAAAAAATATAAACTATTTATTTTAAAAGACTATAAAAATCATAAAATGATTTTTTAATTGTATATGATAACAGTTAATAATGTTAAATGAAACTAACCATATTCCTGTTTGATGATATTCCAAATTTGATTAATATCAATCACATCTTATTTAGTAATGATCATTATTTGGATCATTCTAAATTTTAATATTCTGTAATAATTAATTAATTAAATTAATCTAATAATTTTAATACGATTTATTACTGTATTAATAGCGAAGCTTTTAAATTTATTAAATAATTATTAATATTTTCTATTTTTTAATTACTACTATATTTCATAAAAGCAATTTAGAATCTTTAATTTATACTATTAACTAAATAATACTACTTGCTTATTACTAATTTCATAATTAAATGATAACTCCACCTAGTAAATAGATAGCAACTTAACCTAAGCTATAATAATCACAGTTAATTATTTACGTAGCAGTTCGACTCCTATAATGCTAAATTATTACACAAAATAAATATATATTAAAATTGAATTATTAAAAAATAATAAATATAACAAGTATATTTGCAGTCAAAATTAAAACTTACTATAAACCCTTTTTTA